CACCTACTTAGAACAAGCTTAGCAAAAGCATCAGGGACCGCGGTTCAATCCCCCAGCACCACATGCCAGCCAGCCCTGCCCCCTGGTGGGCTGAGCCGCCCTCTCTCTCTCTCTCTCTCTCTCAAATAAATAAATAAATAAAATTTAAAAAAAAAATAAAGTAAAGACATGCCAACCATGCTTGCCTTTCTTTCCTGCCTCCTCCCTCGTCCATCGAGAGCTGTTTGGAATATTGTATTACTCTCTCCTAAATGTGCTCAGTGTTCTCTGGATTTGTCCATTAGGTTGTGTCTTTGGCTTCTCTTTGTGGTCTGTGAAGGTTTCAGCATGCGCCACACTTCCCTCTCCTTCCAGCAGAGGTAAGCCAAAGTTGGGCTGAATCTGCGGGCACTACTTGAGGTATTCAGGCTGTATTTCTTTCTAGGCGTGTTAGGTACTGTGAGAAAGGCTCTTAACAGGCTGCATGTCCTCACTGGTGAGATCATGTGGTATCTAGAGGGACAGCTCAGGGCAGATGAAACAGCCTCGCTCCTGTGTACTGATAATCTGGCTGTTTTCTGAGATGGGGTCTTACTGTGTAGCCCTGGCTGGCCTTGAAATCTGTTCAAGCCTCGTTCCTCAGACTTGTGGGTGCTGTGATCACAGCTGTGTGCCACTGTGCCCAGCTGTATTGATCTACTTTTCAGTATGGAATTTTCCATGATGAAAAAAATAGTATAGGGAAAACCCCTCTATTATAAACTGCTTGGGGTTGGGGATGTAGCTCAGAGGTACAGTGCAAGCCTGGCAAATACAAGGTTCTGAGCTTGATTCCCAGTACCAGGGAAAAAAAAATAATCAAAATAATATAAACTGTCTTAACCTTTAGGTGTGTGCAGTTGCTACTTCTTGGCACTGACTTTTAAAAGCCTACATCTGCACCTGGAACATTTTACATCACAGCCCAATATGCACCCCCTGCATTTCATAAATTCTATTATTATTATTCTTTAACATGTTTGTATCTGAAATTTGGATGTTGGGTATAAGGAATGTTATCCTAGACTTGATGAGTCATGTGAAGAACTTCCAGCCTCACATGGGCTGCAAATTGTTGGCTACTCTGCTCAATGAAAGGAGTCAATTCGTCTCTTCTGTGGTGGGTTAACATAGGCGACATGTAAGCCCAGCTGAACTGAGTCTGTGGTGCTGGGTGCTGAAGGCCCACCTGAAGATTGTTGCCAACAGCATAAAAAGGAGATGGCGAACAGGTGATGCTGTTGATCCTTTTGGAGAAGCTTGGGCTGGTTTTCTAAATATGAATTTGACTGTTCTCATCGTTGGAAAAGCTTGGGACCTCGTGGTTGCTGAGGATGGATGCAGTTCACTTTGAGGGAACTATGGTTCTTTGATCATCACTTTCTGACTCTAGAGGGGAAGATGGTGAGCTGTTGATTGTCCTGCAGAGGGTGTTGTACTGGTTTTCCTGATACAAACTCAGCTGTTGTCACTGGAGGAGCCCAGGACCTCGTCACTAAGAATGGCTGCAGTTCTTTTCAGGAAAGATCTGCTCCTTACCTTGAACAATGCTTCCTGGCTCCAGTGCAGACACCTCAGCCTGGGGGCACAGATCCTTGATACAGATTTCCATGAGGCATTTTCATGGGTTCTAGGCCTCCAAGTGGACTCATGGAGGACACTGTCTTGGGATCCAGGCCTTCAGCTGGATTCTTTGAATCTAGTGTGTGGACAGATCTCTTGCACTTTTGTGTTTGACTCTTTGGGTAAGTGTTACAGTCCTATAAATTATGTGTCCTGTATTAAACCCATTTCCTTGTAACCCCTGACTACTCTTAAATTCCAATCTCCTAAAATTTGAACTGGGTTTAGTGATTTGCTTGACCAAAAGACTATGGTATGCTGGGATCAGTGACACATGCCTGTACTCCCATCCACTGTGGAGTCTGAGGGATATAGCCTGGCCACTTAGTAATACCCTTGGCAGCCTGGACAATTTAGTATTCCCTGTCTTAAAAAATAAAGGGCTGGAGATGTAGCTCAGTGGTAAACTGAGGCTGTGGAAGGGGCAGGGAGGGCTGGAGTCCCTGCTCTGATCTCTCTCTAGCCTCACCCTCAATGCCACAACTCCCAGGGTGCATCTGCAGGGTACCCTCAGGTGAATGTCAACCTAAGCTTCACCAGCCAGGTTTCCTCTGCTGACAGAAGCAACAGCAACTTTTATCTTAGGGGCTGTGGGTAGTTTACAGGTCTGTGGTTACAAGACCTCTTGGATCACGGTTTCCCCATCTTTCCTTTCTGACACTTAGATTTCCAGTGCAGGCCTTCCTGCTGGAGCAAGCACTTTATGTGACCATTGCAAAGAGCTTGCTTCATCTGGAGACGTTTGCTCATGGTATACCATCAAAGCAATGTTTCTCTAGGGTTATTTACCTCTATAAAAATGCTGGGGCTGTCAAGATGGCTCAGTGGAATAAGCACTTCCCTGGCAAGCGCAAGGGCCTGAGTTCAATCCCCGATTCCACACAAAAAAACAAAACAAAAAAAAAACCTATGAAATAAACTGCTGGGCTTTGGAGATAGTTAAGCGCCTGCCTAGGCAAGCACAAGGACCTGGGTTCTATTCCTGGTACCACACGCCGTACCAGCCCTGCCTCAGGCCCACTGAGCGGGCCACTAAGACTGGGCATGGTGGTGAACACCTGTAATTCCAGCACTGGGGAGGCTGAGACCGGGGCATCACTTGAGTCCAAGCTGTGTAGGAGGGCCTATACCAAAAAAGAAAAGAAAGAAACTGTTAAAACACAAAAAGGAAGGAAAAAAGAAACTGTACAGTGAATAAAAATAAAAAAATAAGAGGAAAAGCATAAAAAATTGAAAAAAAAGGTAAGGACAAAGGAACATTCTCCAAGCCCCAATAATCTGGTGAGGAAGAGAAAAAAGCAAAGGAAAGGGAAACAAAACCAACAGGATATACAGTTTTTTGAGGCAGTATCCAAGTCAATGCGTGTGGGGCTGGGGAGATGGCTCAGTGGAATAAGCGCTTCCCTGGCAAGCTCAAGGACCTGAGTTCAATCCCCCGTTCCACCAAAAAAAAAAAAAAAAAAAAGCAGACCCATCCAAGTCAATGCGTGTCCCTGCTCATGCTTGTAGATAAGGCAGGCAGGCAGGCACTAGCAGGCAGTAGGATGAGAGTGAGGGTACCAGTGCTGTGAGTTTCAAATCCAGAGCAAGGACTTGGCCTCTGGAGTGGGGTGGGGTGGGGTGGGGGAGCACACGTGACCTCTAGCTCAAAGCCCGGGAGGGTCTCTGTCCTGCTCCTAACCGTGGCTGTCTACTGTGCCAGTCCCTTGCCTAGCCATTGTGGGAATGCAACACTGGGAGCCTTGAAGTGAAGCTATCCCAAGGATGCTCTGAGTCCCAGGAGAATTCAACCTTTTTCCATAATGCAGTCTGACTGTGCACTCTGCCCAGGGGTGTGGCGGGCTCTTGGAGTGGAGTTGCTCACCAGCTGTTGCCTGTCGAAGGATTCATGGGGGAGCAAAATGCCATGCCCTCCTTGCAGATTGCGGCACCCACTGGCCTGTTCCACCATCATTTCTCCCTGAGGACCCCGGCATCCCCAGCCTTCACTGTGTCTCTATACATTCAGTTTTCCTTTCTTAAAAGCCAGGAGCCAGGAAAAAGCAGTCTCTGCT